GCTCACAAGGAAAGAACTAGTTTACTACTGTACCCATAGTTTTTGGGATATTCCCTGGCTCAGCTATTTGCTGAATGAATAAATGATTATTTCCTCTAACAGTTAAACACAAAACAAGACAAAACTCTCTAAATCTTTTCTTTAGAAAAAGGAGACAGGATAAGTTCTTACAGAGCTGACACGAGCATTCTGTAACTTACAGGTTTTGCTAAAGTTGGAAGGAGGTTGTGTCCAGTCAGGAGGGCTTATCTTCTGATTCCACAACATCAACTGCTTTTGTAATCACGGAGCAAAGAAAACCCTGTTTTACAAAGAAAAGGAAGTGCTTGCTTCTGGTGCACAGCTTACCTGGGTTCTTGGTCTAGCTGCTTTGTCAAGGTTGGCTGCTTGCACAAGGATTGGGGGACTGGGGTTCTTTTGCTACTTTGCTTGCTCCCCTCTGGCACTCCCTGAAGGCCACAGAGCTCTCTAGAAGGTTTGAGCATGGGTGTCAGTACACCAGGTCTACTCCTGGTGATGAACCTAGGACATAGGTCTTTTCTCTCCTGCAGGGCTTTGGTCAAAATTCTGTGTGATAATAACAAGGTCAGGTCACTGGTCAAAGGTCATACAGTAAAAGATCTGGGACTTGACCCCACAGAGTCAGGGTCCAAACCCTGTGCTGTTAGTTGCTACTCTGCTGCCTCCTTAAGTTCTTTTTCTGGCTCAGGTACCCTGCTAAGTGCTTGAAAAACATAATTTCCTTTTGTTCTCAAAACCATGCCAGGAGGTGGGCATGCTCTTCTTTGTCTGTTTACAGCTGTAGGAATCAAGAAGTGGGGTAAACGATAATTTGTCCCAGGTCACAGCCAAGTTTGCAGACAGGATCTGGACATAGGTTTGAGGGACTATGATGCTATTTCATTCACTCTTGCTTCATAACAAACCATCCCCAAGTGCAGTGCTGTGAAACAACAATTCAGTTATGCTCCCAAGATTTCTATGGGTCAGAAATAAGCTTGTCTCTGCTTCACAGTGTTTTAGGCTTCATCTGGGAAGACACAGTTGCTGGAGGTGATGTGACAGCTGGGACTAGAAGCACGGCAGGATCCCTTCACTCACACGTCTGGAGGTTGAGGATGGCTTTCAGTTGTGACCCCAGCTGGGTTGAAGTCTGGAAAGCTAACAACATCTATTCTTTCCATGTTGTCATGCCATCTGTGCGATCTTGGACTTCTGCACAGCAGGCTGGCTGAATTCCAGGAGCCCCAGGGAGAAAGGTGGAGGTCACGGCATTTTCTGATAGCACCACTTCTGCCATACTTTATCAGTCAAGGCAGCCATAAAGGTCCTTGTGTGTTTCAAAGGAAGGGACACAGTCCCGTGGCCCCCATTCAGTGGGAAGGTGTCAAGGCCGCAGGGTAAGGAGTGCATGTGGGATGGGAACTCTTGCTGTGACCATATTTGGTGAATATAATGTGAGACAAAAGCCTAGCATCAGCGGTCCTAAACTTCATTGCATGTTAGAGTCATTTTTCAGTCTCAATGCCCAGGGTATACCCCAGACCAATGAAATCAGCATCTCTGGGAATGGAAGCCAGGCATCAGTATTTTCTTTTATTTTGTTCTATTTTTGTATTGGTTTTATTTACTTCATTTTTTTCCATCACCATTTATTCCCCTATACCCTCTTCCACCTTCACCCACCCCCTCCCCTCTGCAATCATCACACTCTTGTTCATGTTCATGAGTTCTTTCTCTTTTTTTTTTTTGTTCAATCCCTCCACCCCCAGGCCCCTGCCTCAGTATTTTCTTTAATTTCTGTGTGATTACAATGAGGCTTTCTCCCATGCTTGCAAAGTACCTGGCAGAGTGTCTGACTCATGAACAACCAGTGTTTCTTCAAGTGTAAACACCTATGACTCTTTGTACGCAAGGTCATTGTAGGTAGTGCACAGATAGTGGACTTAAAAAGTTATAGTTAGGCAGGTCAAGATGGAGACATAGGTAAACACACTTTGCTTCCTTGCACAATTACAGAAAAAATTACAACTAGAATGCAAAACAAATATCACCCAGAACTGTTGGAAAATTGAGCTGAATACAAATCCAACAACCAAGGATTTAAAGAAGCCACATTCATTGAGACAGGTAAGAAGGGTGGAGATGAGGAGAGAGGTGGAGAGACACGGAGAGGTGTGGAGCCTCAGAGTTACTGGCATGGAGCTGTGGGAGTGGTGCCAGAGAGGCGGTGGAATGGGTGATTCCATATTCACAGGTGGTAGATAAAAATCAGGAGGGGTACCTGGGAGTGAGGGATCCCAGCCCCAAACCACACCACCCAACAGGCCAGGGTTCCAATGCCAGGAAGATAAATTCCCATAACTTCTGGCTGTAAAAAACAGTGGGTGTTGGGGTGGCAGAAGAAACTGCCAGGTTATCAGGAGACTCCTCTTAAAGGGCACATATGGACTTAGGACTTACACAGACCAACTCCCCTGGGATACAGCAGCAGGGCAACAGCTGGAAGGGTACAGGTGGCATAAGGAGAGAAAGTGAAGAGACTAGAAACAGGGTGAATGCTGGGAAACAGCTTCCTCCCAGGAAAACCTCCAGGAGCCAGGCAGTGGCATTGTCCCCTCTCTGAGCCCTCCCCTAAGTAGAGCCACAAAGCAGTGAAATGGATTGCCCTGCCCTGGAGATCACCTAAGGCTCTGACCCACACAATTTACAGGTGCCTTTTCTACAATAGCCCACGCTACTAAGACAAGGAGTCAAAACAGCTCTACCTAATACACAGGAACAAACACAGGGAGGCTGCCAAATTGAGCAGACAAAGAAGTATGACCGAATTGAAAGAACAGAAAAAAACTGCAGAAACAGAATTAAACACAATGGAAATAACCAACCCATCATGCAGAGTTCAAAACACTGGTTATCGGGATGCTCAGAGAACTCACTGAGTATGGCAACAGCATAAAAAAGACCCAGGCAGTAATGAAGGCTACATTAAGTGAAATAAAGAAAAATCTACAGGGAACCGATAGTGGAGGGGATGAAACTGAGTATCAGATCAACGGTTTGGAATATAAGGGAGAAGAAAAGCATTTAATCAGATCAGCAAGAAGAAAAAAGAATTTTAAAAAATGAGGATAGAATAAGAAGCCTCTGGGACATCTCAAAACATATCAACATCTGAATCATAGGGGTGCCAGAAGGAGAAGAGGAAAAGCAAGTAATTGAAAACATATTAAAAAAATAATGGATGAAAACTTCCCTGATTTGGCAAAGGAAATAGATACACAAGTCCAGGAAGCACAGAGTGTCCCAAACAAGTTGGACCCAAAAAGGCCCACACCAAGACACATCATGATTAAAATGCCAGAGGTTAAAGATAAAGAAAGAATCCTAAATGCAGCAAGAGAAAAGCAGATAATTACCTACCTTAAGGAGTTCCCATAGGGCTGTCAGCTGATTTCTCAAAAGAAACTTTGCAGGCTAGAAGGGACTGGCAAGAAGTATTCAAAGCAATGAAAAGCAAGGACCTACAACCTAAACTAATCTATCCATTCTAAAAGTTATCATTTATAATGAAAGGGCAAACAAAGAGCTTCCCAGACAAGGTAAAGCTAAAGGAGCTCATCATTACCAAGGCTTTATTATATGAAATGTTAAAGGGACTTATTAAGAAAAAGAAGAAGGTAAAAACTATGAACATTCAAATGGCAACAAATTCACAACTATCAACAACTGAATCTAAAAAAACAAACCAAGCAAACAACCAGAATAGGAACAGAATCACAGATCTGGAGATCACTTGGAGAGTTATCAGTTGGGAGTGGGAAGGAGAGAATGGAGGGAAAGGTGCAGGGATTAAGATGCATAATTGGTAGGCACAAATTAGACAGAGGGATGTTAAGAATAGAATAGGAAATGGAGAGTCCAAAGAACTTACATGTATGACCCATGGACATGAACTAAGTGGAGGAATGCTAGGGGGGGGATGTTGTGCAGAGTGGAGGGGAATAAAGGGGAGAAAGAATGGGGCAACTGTAATAGCATAATCAATAAAATATACTTCTAAAAAAGTTCTAATTAGGCATTTCTTTTTACAGTTATCTTCTAACTATGACAAGTGTTGGTTTCCATTTTTGTTGGTAATGTAATTTCCTCTTAAAATACATTTGAGTACAAAAGGTAAGGAGGTAGAGGTAATTTTTAGAATTCTAAATAAATAATGGCACAGCTTGAATGACAGGGCAGAAACCACAAAAGAGTTGTGTGAAAGATGAAGCTGGGAAAACCCTGCGGCAGGTCACTAGTGTTGGCAGCTGTGACTATTACTATGAATAGTATTATCTATAAGGATTGCTAGCTGAAAATCAACTTTGTGTGAATCTGATATTTAAAAAATAAACATCTGAGATCTGCCTTTGAGAAAGGAGTGGACAGAAGAGGACCCAGGTGTTTGTGAAGCAAATACAGAGCCCTGTGGTGAGTTTCCCTGTTCTCTGCAAGGAGTTGGGAATCCTTTGAATGAATCGTGGCAACCTGAGGGGAAAATTTCCGGAAGCCCCTGAGGGGGAAGAAAAGCCAGTCATCTCTCTCATTCTCAGGAGGAACCCAAGAAATTGGGGAAACATATTACATGTCACCAGGAAACGAAAAAGAAAGGGTATAGAAAAGGGAGTGGAACAGAAGAGGGAGGATCTGGATGGGTGGAGTCAGGAGCAGGTTCCTGTCCTGCTGAAACCCTAGACCTCATGTGAGTTTAAGCCAGTCTCTGACCTCTGATCCATGTGCCCTCCAAGGCCTTGAAAGAGTGATACTCTAACCCTGGGATCCTTTCAGACCAAACATTCTCTAATTCCAAGAACTCTCTGGTTCCTGGAACACCCATTTAATGACATTCCAGGCATAGGCTGTGCCAAGGAAGGGTGAGGTTAGGAAAGGCCAATTAGAGGCCAGGGGTGGAGGTTAGCATGTGGGCCCTTCTGGCAAGCATCAAAGCACCCAGTATCCAGGGTGTGGTCATGGTCAGCAGGGACAGAGCACTTCCCAGCCTGTTTTCTCCTTTGAAGCAGACAGAGAAGAGGATAGTCTCACCATTTGACAGGTGAGGAAACTGAGGCTCAGAAGGAGTCATTGACCAGAAATTAACTAGATTTTAGTATTCCTCATTGTCAGTATTCATGGTTCATTTCAGGCATGGAGTAAAAAGGGAAAAGCCTAGGAGTAAAAAGTCAGAGAGACCTGAGTTCAAAATTCCAGTTTCTGCAGGTTTTGGCTGTGTGACTTTGGGCAAGTTGCTGGACTTCTCTGAACTTCAGTTTTCTGGTCTATAAAATGGGATCAATAAATGAAACAAGGTGTATAAAACACCTGTCACAGAGTAATGGCTCATCATATGGAAGCTGTTGCTATGATTTTTGAAGCTGACAGACCAGATCTGTGTTGGGCTGAGAGCTTGAATGCCCTGTGCCATTTGCCTCCTGAGTTCAACAGCTGACAAGTGGCCCTAAGGTCTGGTTCCAATCATACCAGGCTCCCATTTGTCCCTCTGGGCAGTGCATGCCTTCGACCAGGCCCTGGTAGTACAGTAAGAGTCCAATAAACATTAATTGAATGACTAAACAACTTGTGGAAAGCGGAGTTCAAGGGGAAATCTGAAGGAGCGGTATGCCAAATGACTGTGAGGCTCTGGGCACAGGCTTGAGCGCATGCGATCACGAAGGTGACTGACTGGGGTGGAAGTGAGGAGACAGGTGGTGGTGGAGGTCAAGTCTGGGAAGGCTGAAGAGAAGAAGACGTTTGAGCTGTGTTTTTTGGGATGGATGGAATTAAAGGCATCTCAGAAAGAAAGGATCAGAAAAACAGACACTTGTTCAGGGGCAGGTGGGAGAGTCAGGTTTCAATTGCTCTGAGAAGGAATCAGGCAACTCTCCAAGGCAGCAAGTTCCCTGTCTAGCGATATTCAAGAAAACAGGTGACTCCAGTAGGAGCAGCTTTGGCTGGGCTGGGAGCCTTTTAATGTGCTCAGTCAGAGACCCTAGGACTGCTCTTAGGCTGGACTCAGTGGGGGCAATGGTTAGAGATTCCAGAGGTTTAAGGTGGCCTTAGCTGGCTGTGCATCTGTTACTGTTCCAGCAGAAGCCTTGTTCCTGTCTGTATTCTTGGTCCCTCAGAACCATTGCTTCCCAAGTTCTGTAGCCTACAGCTCACATGGGAGGGGCAGGAGAAGAGGAAAAGGCTCTGCTCAGGGCTAGACCTAGGGGTTTTCTCCCCCTACATATGCTGAGTTTGTCTGTGGAAAATGTTTCTTGCTAGTTTTATCCAGGATTCATTGACTCTCTCCTGCTTCTTTTAACTCTGCCTTTGCCGAGTTTGGCTAACACATGGCTAAGTAGCTAAATATCAGATTTCCTAAACCTTTCTAGTACTTGGGTGTGGCCATGTAACTAAATTCTGAACAGATGTGATGTGTTCTACTTTAGGTTATGGCCTTAAAAATGAATTGGTGTGGCCTCCCCGGTCCCATTCCTGCTCTCTTTCTATCCGCTAGCACCAGAGCAGCTAGCTTGGGCCTCAAAGTGGAAACCGTGTTTTGAGGGTGGCAGAACTATGAGCTAAAGGAGCTGGAATCCTTGACACGGTGCAGTTGCCATTTTAGTCAAGGAGTACTTGCCTTCGGAGCTGTTCTGTGACAGAGAGATAACTTTCTATCCTAAAGTTTTAGTTCAGTAATACAGCCTGTTAGCTCCAATCACTCTTCTTATTTGCTCCACATTCTTCTAAAACCCTGGTTCTGAGACTGATAATACCAGGTAAGAATTATCCTCCCCAGCTAACCTCCCAGAACCCTGTCCTGGCAGCCCCCTGAGCAAAGGGTCCCGTATCACTTGAGGGCCGTAAGAATCCTTGAATTTGAGTCCTGAGGAACTTGGGGTAAATCCCTTGATGTTTTAAGTCTCAGTTTGCTCCATTTTGCAGATGGCACCAATAAATAACATTTTCTAAAAAAGGTGGTTTTGTCCTAGCTGGCATGGCTCAGATGGTTGGGCATTGTACTGCAAAGTAAAAAGTTGCCGGTAGAATTCCCCATTAGGGCACAGGCCTGGGTTGCAGGTCTAGTCCCCAGTTGGGGTGTGTAAGAGACAACTGATTGATATTTCTTTTGCACATCAATGTTTCTCTCCCTCTCTTTCTTCCTCCCTCCCCATCTAAATAAATAAAATCTTTTTTAAGTAGTTTTATCTGAATACAAAATAATCAACAAGATTGTTATTCCCAGGATGAAAAGGAGCTGGGGAGGGGGATTGTTTCATGAGTACCATTAAAGAGGAGCAGAGGAATGCTCTTGCACCCCTGCAGAGACCACAAACAACGTATGCACCAAAACACATGCATACCCAAACCAAACCAAAACAAACACACACTCACTTCTACAGGCCCCTACAAAGTCCGAAACACCCGCTCCCAGATATATAACCAAATACAAACACTAACAAAAGACGCTCATTTACTCCAGCACATGCAGACACCTTCAGAACCACACACAAAAAGACAACAGAGAAGACAAAAATGCACACAGCTGCTGCTGCTGTACTTTATTGTCACTGCCACCCCAGGGAACTCCGGTTTCTTCAGCATCTTTCTTTTTGGGGTACCTTCATGACTCTCCATTCCCTGCCTCTTGCTCCCTATTTTGCCCTTTTTCTGGAGCTGGGGGTGCTTCCTGGGTGGCCCCTCAGAGCCTCAGTCTGGTGGGGTAAGTCCTTGGGATGGGGTGGGAGGCAGGTAGGCCTGGATGCTGCTCCAGGTGCTGATTCCTCCGTGGTCCTGCCACCAGGTGTGCGTGCTCTGGCCTCATCTGGGGAAGGAAAGCAGCTGGTGAAAGGGCTGGAGGCCTGGGTAATCCTGCCTTTCCTATTCACTTGTTCTGTGACTCCAGAGAAAGATCCTAACCTCTCTGGACCTCAGTTTCCCCCTCTAGTAGGAAAGGGTCTGTATTTCCCCCTTGGCTCTGGTCACTAGGAAACTCAGAGTCAAACGTTATGTCTCGTTTCACTCCATGTTGAGACACCAGTTCTCTAATGCCTCTCCCCACCCAACCACATGCAGCCAGTCATGTCCTTTCAAGGCAGAGGGTCCTCCACTGGCTCTCTGGGCCACTGACTCCTTACCTCCAGCTCTGTCTCAGAGTCGTGCCCCTCGCTTTTTCCGCTCCGTATTCTGGAGCTTGGTCACCAGCTTCCTTTCGTGCCCGCCAGGGCTGGGGCGGTTGGTGTTGGCAGCAGCTTCTCTCTTGGTGCGACCTTTCCGGCCTCCCACTCCTGGGAACCGAGGCGACGACCCAAGTTAGGTGGCTGGAGGCATGATGAGAAGCCTCAAAGGAGAGGCAGGGTTGGGAGTGCGGGCGGAGGTGGAAAGAACTCAGGTTGGAGTAGAGAGGCTGGGGGTTGTCACCTCATAGCTTGGGGGCAGTCATAGTCTCTATTTCCCTGTCTGAGGAAAGAGGGTCCCCCAGATGATCTGCTGTTGCTCCAGTATTCAAGGCATGTGTGAGGCCCCAGGGCTGTGTAGGACAGTGCTCGGTGGATGAGGGGTCAGGAGGACAGGTTGGGAAGGGTGAGGGGTGGGGAAAAATCCAAAGAGGGAGTACCAGTTTCTGGGTGGGGATGGGGGTCAGAAGTGGGAGGACCAGGAAGGTGTCAGGGCCAGGCCTTACCCAGGTAAGAATGAGCCAGGCTGTAGAGGTCGTACTCATCCAGGTTGGGGTCTTCGTCCTGTGGGCCCGGGAGCTGCTGGGACCAGCTGGCTGCTCTGGGGAAGGTAGCCATCATGTCTGGCTTACTCTCACTGTTTCTTTCTCTCTCTTGCCTTCTAAATTTTTCTTTGTGTCTGGTTTCCTGGCACCTCCCAACTTACTGGATCTGACTTATAAGGCCACGTCTCTTCCTCAGCCTGTAGTCTGGCTCCAGCCCCTCAGGCCCAGTGTGATGCAATCTGGCTCTTTCCCAGAACCCAGTCCAGCAAACACCAGTCACGAGAGCGGAGAGAGTCTCGTGAGTCCCAGCCCCCCAGCCTTCTCCCTCTCACTGGGGCTCGCCCAGCTGGGTGTTTTCCAAAGAGGAGATTCCCTGCCCCCCAGGGAGGAGGAGGAAACAAGCAAGGTCTGGGCATAAACAGTCCTTGGGAACATGGCCAGCAGAGACATGAGGGCCTCATTTGGCCCACTCCTCCTGCCCCGCTCCTGCCCTCTGCCACATGTCCCTTCTGGGATTGGGTCATGGTCACACAACTGACCCTCACTCCCACCCTGGCTGTGACTCAGATCCAGGATTGTGGTGGCAGAATATGGAATGAAGAGTACAGGGAAAGGACATTGACATATTACGGGCTAGGTCAGTGGTTCCCACTGACCTCTATCACACCCAACGCTACTTTTTTTTCAAGAAACATCTTGGAAAGTCCCCTTAATATCTTAAACTGGGGGTCCCTGGGTAATTTTCTTCACCTGAGATGAAGGCCAGCCGAGTGGCTAAGAGTGAGGGTCTCAAACCCCTGATCCACTACTTCCTGTGTGACCCCAGACAAATCGCTTTACCTCTCTGTGCCTTTACCAATTGCTGTGCCTTGGTTTTCTCCTAAGTAAAATGAGGATGATGATAATAACTGAAGTCACCTCATAGAGTTGGTGAGAGGATCAAATGAGATGATACATGGAAGGCACTTGCAACAGTGACTGGCACGGTGTACGCCGCACCGTGTACGAGTTAAACACATATTTTCCAAACAATTCAGTGTAATGCCTCACTGTAATGTAAGGGAGACATCAAAGGAAATTGCTTTTATAATAATATGTATTTCAAAATATGGATATACCAAAGTAGAAGACATCGTGAAGCACGCAGATGTTGGTATCAATTTAATATGAATTAAAGGAAGGCGTTCAGATACGAAACGTGTGAAAGTACAATTGTCCAGTCTTGCCTGAAGGATGTGCCTCGGTCGAGTTGCCCCGGAGAGGCCATACCCTCAGTTGCCCACTCATGCTTTAGTGGAGGCTCCTGTCTGGGGCGGGGAAAGAGACTTTTTATTTTTTATTTTTTTAACTCTGTGGTTTCCAATGCAACAGGATCTTCTCCGCTCAGTCCAAGTGTTAATGCTTTGCTCACACTTCCCACTTGGCTGTGAGCTTTTTGGAACACTATTCCAACTCAAGAGTGCCTAAACGCCATGTTTCCACCAAGCCCTGTAATAACCCAGTCTTGCCCTCTGTTTAACAAGAAGCAACACTTCTGCTTGCATTTCTCCCTGGCCTGGGCCAGAATTAAATTTAGCTTTTGTTTTCCAGATCTGGATGATATGAGTTCTTTAACACCCAGGAAATGAAAGTGAAGACAGGAGGACACTTGAATAAAAACAGAGTTGGGATAATAATAACAGATCAGGTGATAACCTTAATTTAAATGAAGGTAACACACCAAGACAAATTATGGTGGACAGATTAGGAAATACGTGTTCTTGCAAAGTGGAGGATTTACCGCTCAGTGCAATAGTAAATAGTTCCTCCTGTCATGACACTGGACAGGGTAGGTTCTAGGCTCAGGTCAGTCATTGTAAAAATTTTTTAGCTTCATGGATGTCTAGCAGTACAGTTAAATGTTGTGCAGGACGTGGGACAAGTCTGTGAGTGACTGTTCTGCTCCGCCTCCCTTGTGACCAAGAACCCCCCACAAATTCCTGAGCTGCCCCTAGAGGGTGGTCTGTCACTTATTCACCTCAGCCACTAGGATGCCAGGTAGCTAGTGAGATTTGAGGCTCACTTCTGAGTTTGCTCATGTATGAAGTGAGGATAGCAACAGTGCCCAGTGTGTGACAGGGCTTGGTCCAGAGCCCAGAACGTGATATACCGCTATCTGCCCTCCCCTCCCAATTTGTTCTTCCAAGAAGGAAAACGCAGAATCAGAGAGTGACTTTATTCAAGGTCAGGCAGCTGGTGAGTGGTGAAGGATTCCTCCCACAGTCTACCTGACTCCTTTGTAGAGTTTGTTCTAAGTTAGCACAGCTGACCAAACACTGGCAGGTGTGTGTGTGGAGGCACCTGGCAAGGGATCCCTCCTTCCCTCTCTTGCCCCTTCCCCTCCTCCCTTCTTCCCATTCCTAACAGTTCCTGCCTGCTTTGAGCCAGGCTGAATGCTGGGCACACACAGAAGTGCACCCGCCCAGCCCTCTGTAAGCTCTGTGTTATGGGGGAGGAGGGTCTTTGGCAACTTCGTGTGCATTCCTGTCCAGAATACCACACATAGCCACCCCCGACCCCCGGTTATCAGGGTGATTTACCCCATCACCTTGATTTTATCTTACTTTCTGTATTGAATGTAATTATCACTAATGGAACTATCTATTTTATTTGCGTACTTCTTCAGGATTCATCCCATGAGGATGAATCATTGGTTTGGTGTAGTTAGTAGTTAAAGGGGCAGGGACTGAAGGCAAACTGCCTGAGTCCAAGGCTTGCTTCTACCACTTGTTAGTTGTGTACCCTTGGACAACTTAGAGCCTCTCCATGCCTCAGGTTCCTTCTGAAATGAGACTAATAGTAGTACGTACCTAGTGGGATTTTTGTGAGGATTAAAAGACCAGTTCTGGACTTCCAGCCAAGATGGAGGCATAGGTGGACACACTGTACCTCCACGCTCAACCAAGATTAGAACAACAACAATTTAGAGACAGAATAACACCCAGAACTGATAGAAAATTTATCTGAATGGAAGTCAGACAGCCAAGAAATTGAAGTAGACCCATTCATCCAGACCAGTAGGAGGGGCAGAGAGGAGCTGCCGGGTGTGGGTCTCGGCGCTCAGAGAACAGGAAGAATTGGGTGCATAAGGCAACCAGGAGTGCATAAGGCATCTGGGGCGTGCAAGATCACAGCAGGTTGACACTGAGTATGCAAGTGGCAGCTGGCAGACCCAGTGAGGCGGTGATTGTGGACCAGGGCAGAGCTCACAACCCAGGATCCCAGAGAAGGGACTGAAGTCCCAGGAGAATGGAGCTACTGCCATTGTTCCCTCCTTTCCCCGCCCCCACATACAACATCACAATCTAGCGACTGGGGTGCCCAACCCTGGTGAACACCTAAGGCCCCGCCCCTTACCGTAACAGGAGAAACCAGAACAAAAAACAAAAGAGAGAGAGACATGTCTCAAACAGAAGAACAGATCAATGCCCCAGGACTCATAATTTTAAGTGACTGAGAGATAGCCAATCTATCAGATGCACAGTTCAAAACACTGGTGATCAGGAAGCTCACAGAATTGGTTGATTTTGGGTGCAAATTACATGAAAACAATGCAGGTCACCATAAAAGAGATGAAGGAAGATGCACGGAGAACCAATAGTGATGGGAAGGAAACTGGGACTCAAGTCAATGGAGTGGACCAGAAGGAAGAAAAAAACAACCAAACAGGAAAGAATGAAGAAATAAGAATTCAAAAAAAACCGAGGAGAAGCTTAGGAACCTCCAGGACATCTTTAAATGTTCCAACATCCGAATTATAGGGGTACCAGAAGGGGAAGAGGAAAAGCAACAGATTGAACACATATTTGAACAAATAATAAAGGAGAACTTCCCCATTCTGGCAAAGGAAATAGACTTCCAGGAAATCCAGGAAGCTCAGAGAGTCCCAAAGAAGTTGGACCCAAGAAGAAACACACCAAGGCACATCATAATTCCATTAGCCAAGGTAAAAATGAAGGAGAGAATCCTAGAAGCAGCAAGAGATAAGGGGACAGTAACCTACAAAGGAGTTCCCATCAGACTGTCAGCAGATTTCTCAAAAGAGACCTTACAGGCAAGAAGGGGCTGGAAAGAAATATTCCACGTCATGAAAGACAAGGACCTATATCCCAGATTACTCTATCCAGCCAAGCTTTCATTTAGAATGGAAGGGCAGATAAAGTGCTTCTCAGATAAGGTCAAGTTAAAGGAGTTCATCATCACCAAGCCCTTATTTTATGAAATGTTAAAGGGACTTATCTAAGAAAAGAAGATTAAAAAAACATGTATAGTAAAAGGACAGCAAACTCACAATTATTAACAACCACACCTAAACAAAACCAAAAGAAACTAAGCAAACAACTAGAACAGGAACAGAACCACAGAAATGGAGATCACATGGAGGGTTAGCAACAGGGGAGTGGGAGGAGGAGAGAGGGGGAAAAGGTACAGAGAATAAGTAGCATAGATTGTAGGTTGAAAATAGATAGGGGGAGGGTAAGAGTAGTATGGGAAATGTAGAAGCTAAAGAACTTATAAGTACAACACATGGGCATGACTAAGGGGGGGATGTGGGTGGGAGAGGGTGTGCAGGGTGGAGGGGAGTGAAGGGAGAAATGGGACAACTGTAATAGCATAATCAATAAAATATATTTTAAAAAAGACCAGTTCTTATAAAGGCTTAGCCTAGAACATATTAAGTGCTCAATATATGTTAGCTATCATTATTATTATCATTAATCACGAGGGAAGGAATCTTGTCTATCTTAACTCTGTTGTATCCCCAATGCCTGGCACTCAGCACTTCATAAGTGTCTAGTTGACTGAATAAAGCTCTGTCATGATCGGCACGGCTTTTTCAGCTTCCAGATCCTTCGAGGAAATGAAGAAGCTCAACCATAGTCCTACACAAGACTGTGAAATCACTGTGACAGAGCCAGGGAAGAAGGTCTCCCTGGCCTTGATTATGCAGGTGCAGGAAGAGGGAAGACCAGACACTTGGGGCAGGGCTGGGCAGAGGGAGGGTGACCAAGAGAGAAGGGACCTTTGGGAACCAATCACCTGGAAGGGTCCTGTTGTACCAACATATGGTAACAATGGGTGCTCCTATCAGGTTGTTGATTGGTAGCTGGACAGCACCTGGAGGAA